AAAAAAAAAAAAAAAAAAAAAAAAAAGACACCCCCCTCCATAGCAGTCATGAAATCATCAATTATCCCATGATGAAGTTAGAGACTGTATAATCCAGTCACCTTCCAAAAACCCCTGAGGTGGCAGCTAAGCCTTCAAAACAATGAGCTTTTGGGAACATTTTAGGTAACAACCATAACAGAAGCATAGCTTTGGATTTATGAGCTTGAACCAGATAATATCAAAAGTATCTTCTCATTCTTTGGTGGCTATCAGTCTGGGTAGTGAGTTAATGAGGAGAATGTGTAACAAGAATATGGTCTCTGCATTGGAATGGAAATTGTTAGGAAGTGAGTGCTCTAAATTAAAGACCAAGCTGTTGCTGCTACTGATGCATAACATACTGCTATTGTTAGTCTTTTTATATAAATATAAATATGTATACACCTATACATAGAAATTGTATTTTGGGAAACTTTAATGGTGGTGCCAACTTTGGAAAAAGTTAACCCAATTTACTGCGTTGAGTTGGCATTGTACAGAAATGGACAGCCATATTGGTCTAGAAATGTTAATTTTTTAAATTTTTTTCCCATGTGTACAGGGGTAACACATCGTACTGAATATGTAAGGTCATATCTACGTGGATTTGATTACAGAAACTAATAAAGTATTCTCTAAATAATGAAAAAAAGAATAAGATAAGACTATGAGAGCAAGAAGCAATTTAAATATGTTCGGGGACCATTTTCATCTCCAGAATTAAGGATTATTTTAATGTTACATCATTGCCTTTTCTCTTTTACTTTCCTTTTTAGTTTTATTTTAGGGTTCCCTATTTTTAATGTTCATACAGAGATTTCTTTAACTGAAATACCAAATAGTTTCTTTGGTGTGAAAAATTATAATAGTACACAGGATCCTAATGAGATAACTAATAATGTGAAATAGGAAGTAAAGGGCTAAAGGTGTAGGGAAAGTGGGAAGGGTGGGGGAAAGGTATTAAGAGAGAGGAAAAAAATATGAGAAACTGAAAAAATGGAAATAAAGTGTTTGTAAATGGGGAGGGGAGGAGGAACTGTATTGTATACCTAGATTATACCAATAAACTCAATAAAAAGAAAAAAAATTAATTAAAGACCAGAAATGGTAAAATTTCAAGATGTTATGTAACATATTTTATTTCCTGGGCATGGTGGTGATGTCTATAATCCCAGCACTTAGAAGGCTGAGGCAGGAGGATCACCACGAGTTTGAGGCCAGCCTAGGCTACATAGTGTCTCAAAAAAAGAAAGAAAAAAGTTTTATTTTACTGTTTTTAAATGGAATGACATTCCTGTAACATTCACTAGCAGTTTATTTTGAGCAACTTGAATATATTAATATTCCATTAAACATGATTACAGAAAAAAATGGAATGTTTTTTGAGTTCTCAGGCAGGCATTAATATCCAAAGACAAATTCCTAGACCAGCAGTTCTATGCCACCTAGTGACAGCTCCATACATTGCATTTATTAGGCTTAGAATTAAATTCCTCGTGGCACTGTTGCTGGGTTTTGGAGTAAATATTTTTTGGGGAAATTATTTTTCCCCTGTATAAATGAATTCCAGCTGCAGTCACTGAAAAGCTTTTCGATAAAATTTCGATAAATTTCCATGAGAATTAACAGTGTGGCTGCTAATGCGTGAGGCTTTGTTTAGACTTCTGAGGTGATTCATAGCATCAGGTCTGACAGACTTGGCCTGAACCTTCTGAGGCCCGCCCCTGTACTTCCTCTTAGACTCTCACTGACGGAGAATGCTGCTTAGTCAGCTTAGCAGGAACGTCCTGCCCTTGACATCTGATCAGGTTGTTCATCCTGTACCTGCCAGCCCATGTCTGCTCACCCTGGCCTGATCTCACCAAGAATCCTGTCAAGTCCCTTTAGCCAGAATCCTCTTTACCCCGAAGCTTCCTCTTACTCATTGTCTTATTGAAAAAGAGAAAGTTTTATTTTACTGTTTTTAAATGGAACTTGACCCTGTCTTTTACATCTTGTGTTGTGCGAACAGAATATCTGAGACTGGGTACTTTTGTTTCGTTTTGTTTTTTGAGACAGGGTCTCACTATGTAGTTGAGACTGACCTGGAACTCACTATGTAGCTCAGGCTGGTCTTGGACTCACAGCATCCTCCTGCCTCAGCCTCCAGAGTGCTGGGATTATTAGGCATGTGCCACCATGCCCGGCTTTGAGACTGGGTACTTTATAGGCTTGGGGAGGGGTTTCAAGGCCAAGAGGCCCATACCTGGCAAGGGCCGCCTGCTGCATCGTCCCAGCAGAGCAGATAGCCAGGGACAGAGGAAGGCAGGCCAATTCCCTCTCCCACCGGGAAACCACTGTGTCACACCTAACCTACTCTTGTGAGGACTGTGTTAATCTGTTTACCAGGGCGGAGCCTTCATGATCTGGTCACCTCTTCGGGTTCCCACCTTCCAACACTGCCACCCTTGGGATTAAGTTTCCAACGCAAAAACTTCAGGGAGACACAAACCATGGCAGAACCCAGCCTTCTTGGCTCTAATTCCCACTTACATACGCCGGACTTGGAGTTCAGGCCACCATCCCTCCAGGGCATGATTCCGTGGTAGTGGTTTCTATATGTATCACAGGGTCCTGAAAAATCTTCCTTTATCACTGAATATTTTCTTCAGCAGCACGTTGCCTTACTTACTTTCCTACCACTTAGACACAACACCCATCACCCACAACCCAGATGAGGAAAGGTTTATCTTGGCTCACAGGTTTAAAGGTTTCAGTCCATAGTCGGCTGGCTCCAAGGCAGGGTCCCACGGTGGAGGACAAACAGTCCATGGCATGGGGGGCAGGAAGCAAGGGATCAAGGGAGGAGGAGGGGACTATGGCCCAGTGACCACCCCTCCCTCCTGGCTTCACCTCCACATCACATACGGCTGTGAACTCATCAGACGACGAATCCACTGCTGAGGATCACACTCTGGTCCCTTCACTGCCTCAAAACCTTTCCTATGAGCGTGGGAGGCTTTGGGGACATCGAGACACTACGGACCATAACACAGGTTCTATCCAGGTAAATAAATGTTTTTCTAATTTAAAGAAATTTTGAGATAAAATTTTTCTTTCATATAATACGTATATGTATGTATATAGATCAGATAAATTGTTTGAAGACTGAAAGCCATTCGGAGACGATTCTCTTTCTGAAAATCTTTCCTTCCTGTTTATAACTGGATTGTAAATGCCTTCCCCCCACCCTTTTGCAAAGGTAGAGCTGGAACCCAGACAGGGCCTCAGATACCATACCAATGAGGCCCAGAAAAGCTGTAGCCTTTAACATCTTACTATGTTTACTGTGGGCCATATAAAGAATTTTTTAAATAATACACTACAAGCACACACCTGTAATCCCAGCACTCTGGGAGGCTGAGGCAGGAGGATTGCAAGTTTGAGCCTATCCTGGGAAACTTAAGGATATAGTGAGATCATGTCTCAAAACAAAAAAATTTATATATTTCTGGGAACCAGGAATCAAACTCAGGACCTTGCACTTGCCAGGCAGGCGTGGCACCACTGAGCTATATCCATGGCCCAAAACAAACAAACAAAAATTTTAAAGGGCTGGAGATGGACCTCAGTGCAAGGGCACAGGGTTCAATGTCTAATACTATAAACAAACAAACAAATACAATGGTACATTTCTGCGAAGACAGTAGTGACTAAAAAATTTCAGTGAACTGGCTTTAGTCTCCAGTCTTTCAAACTTACCGTACGGAAAAAGTCAACATTATACATACACATGGCATACTAGTTTTTCCAACTTTACTGTACATTAAGATGACATTTTTTAAATACAACACTATTTTAAGAGTCAGAAAAATCAAATAAGCCTATAAACACTTTGCCCAGTTAGCCAAAGTCTCACAACTACCTTCTATAGAACACTGACCAGTGAGAGTTAAATTTGTGCCTTCCCCTCTGAGGAATTAAAACTACGTTCCTTTTCATCTCCTAATGAAAAATAACCTACTCTCAAAGACAGCCCAGGCACTGCAAAGTGGGTGCGGCTCCTAAACGGAGATACAGGCCGAGTTGTGGTTTCCTGGAATAATACTAGGAAGCCTGTGAAACATCAGCCACGGGTCAAAGACTTCATCTCAGGCGGAAAAGGAACACAGGTCCTTAGCCTTCTGTTAGAAACGCTGAAATTAAACTATTCCGTTGCGGCCAATCAAGACTTGCATTCAGAAAGGCACCTTAAATGTCAAATTTCTCTTCACAGATGCTGTGTCCGTTTTCCTCATAGTCCTCTCTGGTCACCACCATGTCTTCAAAGTCATCGTTCTCTGAGACCAACCTCCCACCTTCCCAGGCGTAAGTAATGGGGCTGAAAACAAAGGGAAAATAAATGAACTGAGATCCTCTCGCAGAAATAGTCAACGGAAAATTTACAGAGATGAACAACCGAAACGCCTGAGACAGTAATTACTAAAAGGTTGCAAGGTTTACCCAGCTTAAAGAAAAGGCGTTGAAGATACACAGGGGCTATGACATTTTTCTCTCTTCTCCCCCAATTTATGTGCCTTCTACTTCTAATGAAAAGACAGAAATACAAGGAGAAGATCAAAAGATGACTAATAGGAAAAACAACATCGTGAGTCTAAATCCTGTTTATGGCAAAGATATGTCATTTGATGAATTCTCACAGCAACTCAACATACAGCTACTAACCCACCCTTTTAAAAACTCCCATTTTATAGAGGTGAAAAAGGTTTTGAGAGGTTAAATGGGAACTACAATTTAGTCTGGACTGGGATTTAAATCAAAATATTTTTAGTCTATGCTTTTGCTGCTATACTTTGTTGCCTTTAATAAATGAATCACTGAACGTGGGCTGGGTGGTGCCTTTTTTTTATATACTTTATCGAGACAAGGTCTTACTAAATTGCTGCCTAGGCTGGGCTCCATCCTCCTGCCTCAGCTTCCCAGTGTCATGATGACAGACCTGTGCCATCACAGGTCTATTTAAAATTTTGTTTTGTGAGACAGGTCCTGCAATGCAGCTCAGGCTGGCCTTGAACTCTCAGTGGTACTCATGTCTCGGCTCCTGAGTGCTGGGATTACAGGCCTGTCCACCATGCCTGGCTTTTTAGTTTTAAAAAATTCCAAAACAATTTATGGATTCGCATAATTTCTCTTAATGGCTTAATTTCTAAATTTCTATTTTTTGATAAAAACTCAAAAAAATGACACCTCAGATAAACCAAATAGATAAAAACTTGATTTCTTTGCCTATCAAAGTCTTTTAGGAACAAAGACTGATATAAAGGGGCTCTAACTCTCTAATTTAGTTTTTCTTGGTACTGTGTACTGATCCAAAGGCCTTCACACTGAACTATATACAGCCTTAGTCCCTTTTATACATTTTATTCTGAGACACGGTTTTTTCACTAAACCATCAAGTTGCTCAGGCTAGGTTCAAACTTGTGACCCTCCTGCCTCAGCCTCCCAGGGGAAAGGGTCTAATTTTTTTTGTTTGTTTGTTTGTTTTGGTTTTTGTTTTTGGAGACAGGGTCTCACTGTGTAGTTGAGACTGACCTGAAACTCACTGTGTAGCCCAGGATGGTCTCGAACTTGCAGCGATCCTCCTGCCTCAGCCTCCCCAGTGCTGGGATTACAGGCATGCGCCACCACGCCGGCTTGGAAGGGGACTAATGTTAACTGAGCACTCATCACGTATAAAACGTTTCTGCTGGCGCTTTGCACTTTATTCCATTTGATTCGACAACATATAAAGGTTATCACTTCCATTTTTGAGAAAGGAAACCGAGAACTCAGCAGGTGAAATAAACCTGCCCCCAGGGCGGCAGCAGCTTTCAACTCAGGTCTTCGTACAGACCGCCCTGTCCGCGGCAGGATGCCCACGTCTCAGCCCCACGTGAACGACACTTACTTCTCAGGCAACACAACGGAAACATCATAATCGGTCGGAGTAAGACATCGAACTTCTGAGTAGACCCGATCTCTAAATCCTGGGAAAAGGGAATTTCCGCCGGTCAAAACGATGTTCTTAAAAAAATGTGGCTGCATTTCTTTAAAAGAGAAAAGGAAGGAAAAGAAGCATTAGGAAATCCGGTTACTTATCTTTCCGGAGAGACAGGTGGGGGCTTCGGTAAGAGTGGATTGTGGATTTCCATTCCTAGCTGGGAAACCAACCTAACAGTTTTTAGGTCCACTTTAAAATTTGTGATGAGGTTACAGTTTACACAAATAGAGACCTTAAACAGCGAAACAGGACCTGGCAGGTCTGTAAAGCAACAGCCAAGTCCAGGGCCGGAAGAGCGGCTGCTCATATGCGCATGTGCGCCGCACACAGCAGGTGCCGACCTTTGCTCTCTGCACTCCCGCTTCCCCGAGGTGGAGAAAGGCCGCGCTGGGCTGAGGTCAGAAGCTGCCCTGAGAGGGAAGAGGTCTTCCATGATAGTTCTAAACTTGCAGGCCCCAATTTCCACATTACCTAAGACAGGTACCGTTACTGTTCAGCACTTAGCTTTGATGGTGAGAAAACGGTCTATAACAAAGACCCGAAGGGTAAGTACTCATTAGATCACACGCTGGGTCCACGAAGTACCACCAGGTCAGCCAGGAAGAGCCCCCACAGGAGTCCACCAGGAGCGAAGGGGCGCCGGCCACCAACACAGCCCCTCCTATTAACCCCGAAGATTTCCGACCCAACGCCCACGCGGGACAGTACAAAATGTTGTATAGGTTGTGACCACAGGTTTACACAGAATATGAAGGTAATATTGAGAATAGTTTTGAAATAATTATTGTGATAGCATTTATGTGACTTTCTTTGTAAAATTTCTATTTATTTATTTTTAAAATTTCTTTATTTTGGGGGTGGGTACTGGAGATCGAACTGGGGACCTTGCATTTCCAAGGCTGGCACTGGATCCACTGAACTAAATCCCTGGCCCTACTTTCTTTCTTTTTTTTTTTTAATGAGAGGAAAGCACGTACATGTGTTAAGTTTTCTTCAATGCCTAGACTGTTCCTTGTGAAGCAAGAAGACAAAATGTTAAAGTACTATAAAATTTGGGATATTTACTTAAATCATGCTTCAAGAGAAAATGGAAGTCACTAAGAAGTACCATACACCAATCTCATTAAAATTAATCCTGAATATTAGTCCAATTAGGTAATAAGCCACTCCCATCAATACCTGAAAACCATCAAATTATAAATTTCTATTCTGTAGATTTTGGTTAAAAAAAATTTTTTTTTTTTTTTGAGTCAGGGGCTTGCAATGCTTTTTAGGCTGGCCTTGAACTCACTATGTAGCCCAGACTCACCTCGAATTCACACTGATCCTCCTGCCTCAGCCTCCTGAGTGCTGGGATCACAGGTGTGTGCCACTATACCTGGCTTGGTTACAACTTGAGTCCAAGGCCAACCTGTACTACATAGCAAGATCCTGTCTTAAAAAAAAAAAAAACTTTTCTGAGATGATTACTGATTACAACTGAATATTCATGGAAAGAGATTTCTTCATGTTTAAACAGTTTGGGATAATTTAAAATAATTTCATTTTCTTTTTTTGGGGGGGTGGGGTACCAGGGATTGAACTTGGGACCTTGTGTTTGTGAGGCAGGCACGGTGCCACTGAGCTAAATCCCCAGCCCTTAGTTTAAAATAGAATTCATAACCCAAGACAAATCAAGTAAGAGTTACTCAAGGGAATTATGGAATTGGGAATCTGCAAATATAACAGATGCCATTCGCCTGCAATCTTTTAGGAGAAATAGTGTTCCATGAACTCTCGATTTCTGAAAAAATACCCTTATTCCTCAACATTTTTCTACAATGGATGTACCTTCAGGTAAGTTTTGAATGGAATAGACAACAGCCTCTGGAATTCCCATTTCTTGGATGCCTATGTCCGAAGGGTTAAAGAGTATTTCTGGAACGGCGAATCTCTCGTTGGCCAGACGGAGAATTTGTTCCCCAGATTTGTATTTTCCACTCAAGACCATCTCCTCCCTTGGCTTAAAGAAAAATGAGATGAGAAGGTTAGGTTACCTTATCCATTTCACATGACTGATGCTCATCAGAAAGATGTAGTCCTAACATCTTGGCTACGTTCTTGGGAGTGTCCAGAGTCCCAAGTTAGAAGTATATGACTTTCCCTCCTGTTGCCAGGACTACACAGCAATAACGTTGCTGACTCTCACTGGCAATTCCCTGCAAAACAACCTAGTAGCTTTACGGGAGCCACTTTAAAAAGAAAAGAACATAAAAGATGGAACTTCACGTATATCTATAATGGTATACTGATTCCAACAGAACAAAGGACGTATCTGTATCTATACTGCATCTACTGTCGCTGTTTTTTTTTTTTTTTTTTTTTTTTTTTTTTTTTTTTTTTTTCCATTTTTTTTTGGTTTTTTTTTTTTTTTTTTTTTTTTTTTTTTTTTTTGGTTTTGGAGATTGCAACTCAGGACCCTGTGCTTGTGAGGCAGGTGTGGTGCCAGTGAGCTAAATCTCTGGCCCTTCGCCATTTACTTTCCTTTTTTTTTTTGGTACTAGGGATCGAACTTGGGTCTTTGTGCTTACGAGGCCGGCAGCAGCACCGCTGAGCTAAACCCACAGCCCATCTCTCCTTTCATTCCCTTAAGATGTTTACTGGACATGTACCTCTATCCCATTAGGGTTTCTTTTCCTTGTGTAAAAAGCCTACCTCTTAGCTGAGCATGACAACTCACACCTGTAATCCCAGCACTTTGGGAGGCTGAGGCAAGAGAATCTCAAATTTTAGCCTATCCTGGGCCGCTTAGTGATTCAGTGAGAGACCGTGGGGCTGAGGAGATAGTCCTGCGAAGGCCCAGGGCTGAATGCCCTGTAGGGGTGGGGTGTGTGTGTGTCAGTTTTCAAATTACTTAAGCAAATATATCGTCTTTGACCCTGACTTTACTGTAAAATGCCAAATCTGTATAAAGCTTAAGTATAGCAAATACAAATTTGAAGCAAAGCCGATTCACATTGTTATTTACTTTCTGCTAACCAGCCCATCCTGTGAGCTGTGTTCCTCAGAGGCTTAGGAAAAATAAAAACAAGTAAAAAAGCTCCTTCTACAATCTCACATCACAATACAGCCCCTCCCAAATTTTACAAAGAACCCTCAGCTCTTCTAGCTTCAGCTTTGGTCACTGTTTTGTGACTTACAGATGCAGCTTTCCTCCCACAGCAAAAGATACCCCATCCTTGATAGAAATATAACAATCCTGAGGCGTCTCACTTCGGAGCGCCCACACTGTGCTCCTGAGTGTGCCCTAAAGCCCGTAATAAGCCCTTCTTCTGCCTCGGACGGGTCCTGAAAATTTATTTTGTCCCATTAAGTTCCTTATTTCAGCTTCAGGGAGCTTCTCAGACCCAGTATGGCGACAAGACCACACATGGGAATTCATTACACCTGTGTGCTCTTGGTTGCCTTCCAGATTTCCTTAGATAAAATGAAAATTCAATAAAAACAAAAATATTCGACTGGAGCTCCAGAAAGAGTATAAAAATACTTAAGATATATCAGTTATTAAAGGGTAACACATTACAAATTATTGGCTCCTTAATATCAAGTTAGCTGTCTAGATCTCAGCTTCTCATGGGTTTCCTTCTGACTTCCAAGGAAAAGAGCCTCTCCTGTTCTCTGCTGTCACGCTGTACTGTCACCACTTCGCATCTACCTGTCATGGCACAGTACCTGGTCACAGCAGATATTCAAGAAATCCTTTGGCTTCTGCTCTTGAGACAGGGTCTTACAATGTAGTTCGGGCCGACTTTGAAGTCAGAATGATCTGCCTTGGCCTCCTAAGTGCTGAGATTATCGGCATGGACACCACCACCAGCATCCAATAAACTCTTGAGTAAGGGATGGCGTGAGTCCCAGCAACATGCTGCTCACTGCAATAGGCATTTTACATACAGCAGCCCGTTGATCTCACATAACCCTGGAAGGCAAGCATTGGTTGTATGTGTTTGGACGGATGTATGTTCACCAGGTAGCCCAGGCTGGCCTCCACCTGATGATCCTACCTCAGCCTCCTGAGTGCCAGGATTACAGCTGTGTGTGCCACTGCTCCCAGCTTAGTTTTCCATTCATTAACGCAGCTGTGCTCAGGAAGGTTACATGACTAGCTGAAGATCTTTTTTTTTTTCTTTCTGGTACTGGGGATCGAACTCAGGACCTTGTTCTTGAGAGGCAGGCAGCGGAACCACTGGGCTAAGTCCCCAGCCCAACATCATTCTTCTAACAACCCAAAACACATACAGAACGTTCCGCTAAACTACCACTCTTAACCTGGTTGTGAATCATCTAGATTTCCATCATTAGAAAATTCTATGCTCAAAATACTGTTTTTAAATAAAAACTTCCTGAAAATTCTAGAAATTTTAGGGATAAGGAAAACTATCAATCACTTTTAACCCAATTAAACTACAGCTGCAGTAACAAAAACATTATTATTTCACAGGAGGCGCACAGGAGCATCCTTCCTTCTTAGAAAGGAAAATATTTCATTTAAATTTACAAGTTCATTTAACACTGCCATTGGTTGAAATTTATGGGATATAACTCATTTTTGTCAACACCCAACCTGAAACTGATGCAGGCTTGGAGACTTCGGATGACAAAACTTTCGCAGTATTCTAGTTTACAGCCCTGATTCACAGACGAGCATCACATGAAGGGTCAAACATCTAAAAAGCTGGGACTCAATGTCCTTGTGAAATGTCAGCACTAAAGCCACTAATTGTTAATGTATAATCTGGTCCTACAAGCAGTTTTTGTTTCTGAGAGCCTAATTCCAAAGGGGAAAAAAAAATTTTTTTTTGTAGACACAGGTGAATGAAGGACTTCCCAAGGGTGGCCGGGAGTTGCTATTTTGGTCAGCGTAGGCCACACTGACTACACGGCCTCACAAATTCACCTCTAGGACCAGTACAGAAATGACCGCTTTATGTTCTGTTTTATTTTTTGGTACCAGGGATTGAACTTGGGTCCTTGTGCTTGCGAGGCAGGTGGCAGAACCACTGAGCTAAATCCCTGGCCCGACCACTTTATGTTCTAATGGCTCTGCAAAGTGTACTCATTAATGATGAGGGTGGTTTTCCCAATTTAGGTCAGTCAGATGCATTACACTCTAGCAGACACGCTTTTTCTGATAACGGATAAAACTGGAATTTCTATCAGTTGTAAATAGTAATGAGACTGAGACCTCATTTCTATTGTTATTACTGTCAGCACTAGAAAATCAAGGCTGCAACTTTTCCACAAGCATTTAAAACTTTTTTCCTTTGAACAGCATCTCACTATGTGGTCCAGGCTGGCTTTGAACTCATTGTACACTCCAGGTTGGTCTCAAACTCATGATCTCCTTGCCTCAGCCTCCTGATTGCTGTAATAAAAGGTGTATGCCACTTTTTTGTTTTTTGATTGCCACTGTAAATTAAGGATGTGTTAATTCTCCACAAGGTGTCTTATATCACTAGACTGTTTATTTTTATTTTGTGGTATGGGGCGTTTAACCAAAGGCCTCATGCCAGGCAAGTGCTTTACCGCTGAGCTACATTCCCAGCCCTTTCTATTTTATTTTAGGACAGGATTTCACTAAATATCCCCGGCTAGACTCAAACCTGCAACCCTTCTGCCTCAGCCTTTTGAGTAACGCAGTACAGAAGAGCACCAATGCCTCTGCCCATAGGACAGTTGGGATCAGCTATAAAACAGGAAGATGATTAAATGTGTCTAATGAGATAAAGATTTGCTGTCTAAATATTCAGAGCAATTTTCCTTGCTGAATTACGATTGCTATTTCACCTCTATCATCTGGGCAAAATAAATAATTATCTTAAAAAACATAAAATAAAAAAATGATTATCTAAACCATGTACGCATCAACCAGCATAATGCACTCTCAAAAATGAGTTAACATTCCTTTTTTAAAAATTTGGTGTTTATCATTCGCATATATGGTCTTAGACTTCTCACATTTATTATACTTTCTTTACTTATACTTTACTTCATATTTATGTACTCCTAAACATGAATTATTCTGTACAGACTAAAAATATACACAGCTTTCCAAAACTTGCTTCCTATTAAATGATTCTAGAATTTATCCATGATCATCTCCATTACTGCTTATGCACATACAAATATTATCAAAAATCACTTATTCTCCTTCTGTTGGTACAGGCTATTTCCACTTTCTCCGTATTCTAAACTATTGTGTAATAAACGATACTACAAATGTCTCCTCGCATTTCTGACTAGAAATTTTTAACTTCCAGGCTTTAGTAAGCCAATAACCAGCAGGGCAAACTTCATATTTACCCATAAATCTGTCTTTATCTCAGCTGGTGAAAGATAAGAAATTATTTTGACATCCAAGACAAGCTGTTTTTCAGCACTGTGAGAGTGCACTGGAATTTGCCCTTGTCCTTTTTCTTTCACTTTTGGTGGTACTGGGAATTGAACCAGGGCCTCACACATGCCAGGAAGTGCTCTGTGGCAGATACGGCCCTTTTCAAGTACAACCCGATTTTATGGGACCAAACCTGGGTAACATTTAGTAAAATTTAGTCCATGGTGAGCTCTGTCAGTAATTTTTACAACAGGAAAGTAAACAGTTTCTAACAAGGTTTTATGCTAATTCTTAAGTAAACTGAAAAGTTAATTATAGCATAGGTAATGATTTAATGATTCTGTATATTCCAACATCTGTCCCATGTTCTATCATGTGGCTAACAGATTTTTCTGAATAATTTAGTGAAAAGCTTACTAATCACATTTGTACACTTGCGCCTGGAGAAATGGACACCAGAAAGGCAGTCATCAATGATTTTAAGACCTTGCCAATCCCAGGGGATATGAAATGCTTTTCAAATCTGACTGAGGTGGTTGCTTGAAAATATATTATTCAGGGTTTGGTTTTTTTTTTTTTTTCCCCTTCATTACTGGGGATGGAGCCCAGGACTTTTGCAGTGGACCGCACCAGTTCTTTCTGTATTTTTTATTTTGAGACAGGGTCTTGGTAGATTGCCCAGGCTGGGTTTAAACTTGCAATCTTCCTACTTCAGTTCACGGAGTGCTAGGATTATAGGCGTGCACCACCACATCTGGCAAGGATATTTCAAAGTACCTTACAAAAGCCCTTTTTAATTGTACTGAAGTCAGGCAAAACATAGTCTACCATTACTGTATTGTCTTCTCCCTTTAACCTGTAAGATAAAACAAGAGATTTATGAAATATTTTAATTACAAGAAGCACATCCAAAACCCAGCTTTCCAATTTTTACATCCTTATACATACTTTGCAATATCCATGTCTCTGTAAAAATCCTGAGACACATAGCACACATCTTCTTTCACTTGATTAATAACATGTGTTTCATCCATAACATGTAGCTGCCTAACAGAAATAAACATAAAATTTTAAATGGGAAAGAATAACTTACAATTAACATTTGAGGTAACCGATTTTTTTTTTCAAATATTCTATTTTTGTTTTGTTTTTTTGAGACAGGGTCTCACTATGTATTTGAGACTGACCTGGAACTCATTATGTAGCCCAGGCTGGTCTCGAACTCACAGCGATCCTCCTGCCTCAGCCTCCCCAGTACTGGGATTACAGGAGTGCGCCCCCACGCCCGGCTTCTTTTTTTTTTTTTTTGAGACACAATCCTGCTATGTTGTTGGGGCTTGCCTTGAACCCCAAAAGCCTACATGCTAAAGGACAGATCCTCAGTCAGGTGCTTCCAGGCAGTGCTGGTGCCTTTAGAAGGCACGGCCTGGGGGAACTCAGGTGACTGCAGGCATGGTGGGATGGGGACCCCGAGATGCCAGACCCTCTGGTTCCTCTTTGCTTCCCAGCAATAGGAAGGCAATCAGGCTTCCTCCTCCACAGGCTTCCACAGTAACGCACTGTGCTGCTAAAGTCCAGAGCAGCAGGGCCCAGTGACCATGGACTGAAGCCTCCAAAATCAACCTCTTCCTTTAGCAAGTTCATATGTCAGTTATTCTGCTATATTAACCCAAAGCCAACCATGAGCACAATGTAGTGTTTCAACTTGCTTCTCAGGTTTGTTTACCTTAGTTTTGTTTACAAAACATAGTTTTGTAAAACTTATTTTTGTTGACAGTAGAGAGGTTTTAAAATTGTTTTTGGAGGGGCCAGTACTAGGGATTGAACCCAGGCCCCAGCCTGCCTGCTTGCTTGCTTGTTTTATATTTATTTATTTTTAAGTCAGGGTCTTGCCACGTAGTCCAGGCTGGCCTTGAACTCACAGCGATGCTCCTGCCTTAGCCTCTCAAGTGCTGGGATTACAGGTGTGTTTCTTTCACACCTGGCAAATACACACACACACACACACACACACACACACACATATATTTTTTAAGGACTTTGTCTTGTTCTCTTTGAACTCTGCTTTGGTTTCATGTGTGTTCATTGTTTAAAATTCATTGAGCTATACTTTCACGATTTCCATACTTTTCTGTATGTTTTACCTCAGTAAAAAATGTTTTTTACAGTTGTGTGTAAGAGTGCATATCCTTTGTTATTTTTTCACTGTTTTTATGCTTAGTACTTTAATTTTTTTTTTTTTTTTTTTTTTTTTTTTTTTTTTTTTGTTTTTTTTTGTGGTACTGGGAATGTAACCCAAGGTCTTTATGATGCGCTACATCCCAGCCCTTTTGCTTCTGAGACAGAGTCTTATAAGTTGCCCAGGTAGAAACCAAAGTGTGAATCTCCTGGTTCAGCCTCCTGAGTGCTTATAGGTATGCACCACTTAAATATTTTCTTGTAGTTTTTATTTGCTTCATTTTTTGGTTTTCTGAGACAGGATCTCGCTTTGCAGTTCAGGCTGGCCCTGAACTCACTGTGTAGCCAGGCTGGCCTCGAACTCACGGCAATGTGCCTTTCTCAGCCTCCTGAGTGCTGGGATTACAAGTGTGTGCCATCACATTCAGCTTTGTTGTACTTTTTATATATATCAGGTCTGAACCTCCTCTCCCTCTCTATTTGCTACTTCTTATCTGACAAAGGTGGGGAATTGAATAGCCAAACTTACCTAAACTGAGCCCAGATATATTTGGTTCTACAGTGAACAACATCCACATAACCACATTATAAATGCTATTTATGAGCTCTGAAAAACAGTACATATGTGTTATAAAAAGAAACAGTGCCAGGCACGATGGGACACGCCTATGATCCGAACACCTGGTAGGCTCAGGCAAGAGGACTGCAGGTTGGTGGTCAGCGTGGGCTACCCAGAGTTCACGGTCATCTTGGACTAGAGAGTCTCTCAAAAATGAAGGAGAAAAAGGAGGCGGAGGAGGAGAAAGGCAAAACGGAGGAGGAAGAAAAATGGTATAGCATTATGATTAATGAAAAAGTCCTCCCCTAAAGGTTGCACGCTATATTATTCTGTCCTGTAACATTCTTCAAATAACAAAAATAGAGACGTGGAAAGCAGATTAGTAGTTGCTAGGAGACAGGAATTAGACTGCAGAGCAAATATAAAGGGGTAATAAAAGGCATTCCTTTATGAAGGTGCAGTTCTATATCTTGATTGTGGTGATTATACAAATCAACACGTAGGATAAAAGGGCACAGAAATATGTTCAAATGAACGCATGGGAAAACCAGTAAAAACTGAACAGTATCTGCAGTCTAGTTAACAGTGTTGTACCAATGTAAATGTCATTATTTTATGCGGTACTACAGTTATGCAGATGTACACTAGACTCTTGACTACATGAGGGTGGTGAACCTTTTAGAGACCGAGTGCCCAAACTGCGATCCAAAACCATGTATTTATTGCAAAGTGCCAACACTTCAATTAACCCCGAACACAGGTTTTAGCCTAGAAAAACCAACTTAAACAATTTGTGACATCATCACGGAGAGGGCTCTGCGTGCCCACCGTGGTACCTTTCTCACAACTCACGGAGCCTATAATTATTTCAAAATAAAAACTGTAAGAGTACTAAGGCTATAGGTGCCCATCAACAGATGAATGGATAAAGAAAATGTACTGTATATTCACAATGGAGGATTATTTAGGGAAAAAAAAAATGGATGGATCTGGAGATCACGGTGAACAAAGTAAGCCAGGGAAGACATGTTATAAGATGTAGAGTCCAAAAAAGCTGCCGTGCAAGCAGAAGGGAGACTGGTACTAGACAAGCAGACAGGAGTAAGAGGAAGGGGTATAAAGCCAGGTATTGGGGGGATGACTTGATCAGATATCATGATGAAACCCTCCAGTGTGAAACGAGAGGGCAGGGAGGCAAGGCGGGCTGAAATGATCGAAATGTTATGTATATGTATGAATCTGATAAAATGAAACCCATCAACGTGTATAACCAGTATGCATTAATTAAAAAAAAGATGTGAAACAAAAAGTACTAAGAGTAAGCTGGTGCGGACCACATACCAATAATCCCAGCTACTTGGAAGGCTGAGGCTGAAGGCTCACAAATTTGGGCCAGCTGGGAAAACTTAAGGAGCTACCGTTTCAAAATAAAAATTTAGGGGGCCAGGGATTTAGCTCAGTGGTGCTACATCTGCCTGGCAAGCACAAGGTCCTGAGTTTGATCCCTGGTACCAAAAAATACAAAATAAATAAAGGGGAGTGGTTAGGGATGTAGCTCAGAGGTATAGCACTTGCCTAGCATGTCCGAGGCCCTGGGTTCCACCCAGCTGTATGAGGAAAAAAGTCCTAAGACCGGAGGGGATGGGAACTGGGGGTGTGGGCCAAGGGCAGTGGCCACGTTTTTAAAGAAAATGTTCTAAAACTGATTGTGGTGCTGGATGTGGTGGCACACACCTGTAATCCCCTCACTCAAGAGGCTGAGGCAGGAGGTTCACCGTGAGTTCGAGGCCAGCCTGGGCTACACAGTGAGACCCTGTCTCGAAAAAAAAAAAAACTAAAAAAATTATATAATTCATTGTAGTGATGGCTGTGCATATTAAAGCCATTGAAACCATATACTTTACATGAGTGAAATTTTTTGATATGTGAAATATATATGTGCATTGTATGGTATGTTGAATATATATCTGAAAAGCTATTTTTTAAAAGGCCTGTAAAAGGAAATGTAGATTTACTTATTTTCTCATAGAATATACAGGGTAACAAAGAGATACCAACAGTTTCTTACCATTCTGAGATTTAAAAATGCTGTTTAAAGTCAGGCGTGGTGGCACAGGCCTATAAACCCAGCACCCATGAGGCCGAGGCTGGAGAAATGCCATGAGTTCAAGGCCAGCCTGGGCAACCCAGCAAGATAAGACACTGTCTCAAACAACAGCAACAACAACAAAAACTACTTAAATCTTTATACACAATGAAACTAAAAGTAGTTGCCCAAATGAAACTCAAGGTAATTCAGGATGCTGGAGAAAGTTGGGAGATAGCTAAGTGCACCAAATGCCTCATCTAAAGAATTTAAAAATAGTGGATTACCAATATTGGTTAATCAAGAAAGAGAAATATCATAGTAAGGCTTAGAAAAGTTAAAACCATAAAAATAGATATAATTCAAATACTTGGTGTAGAACAGGAGATCTATTTTTCCTTTTAGATTCTTTTTCTTCATATGGATTTTTGTTACCCTTTTCTATTGCATATAGTTTTGTAATTGAAACATCGCTAGTTTTTGTTTTTTTTTTTTTTTTTTTGGTACTGGGGATTGAAATCAGGTCCTTGCGCTTGCAAGGCAAGCCACCGAACTGCTGAGCTAAATCCCCAGCCCCAGTATTTATGTATTTTTAAGCAATAATAAAGAATTGCTGCCGGGTGTGGTGGCATGTAATCTGGCACTCCGGAGGCTGAGGCAGGAGGATCGCTGTGAGTTCGAGACCAGTCTGAGTACACAGTGAGTTCCAGGTCAGTCTCAACTACACAGTGAGACCCTGTCTCAAAAAAAAAAACCAAAAAAAAAAAAAGAAAGAATTGCTGTGCATAGTTACAACTAAAAGTATAAAAATTTTTTTAAATTACTTTACAAAGTTCATTCCTCGCACACCATCCTCCCAAAGAATCAAGAGCAAGTACTACCTGTATGAGATGATCTCCTTTAGATGGTTGGTTAACAGTTTCCCTCCCACATTTATCCTGAAAGAGGAGAATTCAACTTTGGTTCAGTTATCATACATTTCATCCTAAGAAATAACATGAAACAAGAAAAAAAAAATTAAATGTAACTCACCGAATAATGGCTTCTTTTTTCTTTTTACTTCTACAGTAAGGAACTATATGTGTAAAAGAATATCCACTGTCTACAATAATACAGCACAGTTCAGAAGGATTATCTCGGAAATACCGATGTGCACTGAGAGCCCCAGCTATCAAAAAAAAGGAGAGAAAACATTTTAAATAAAAGTATAGGGCAGGGGATTTAGTTCAGTGGTGCCATTGCTTGCCTCGCAAGCACAAGAATCCTGGTACCACAAAAAAAAAAAAAAAAAAAAAAAAAAAAAAAAAAAAAAAAAAAAAAGTAGACCATTTAAAGCAATAAAGAAAACTAAGGCAAGCAGAAAGTTCCCATTAATTGTAAGAAAATGTTAATTGATTATAATATTCATTAGCTGTCACAAGATCTTTATAATGTTTTAAACTTCTACAATTCACACCTATGTGGTAAATATCAAAAGAAAAATCCATAATTAGTTGTTTTGTTCTCTTAGCACTGGAGACGGAGCTCAGGGCCTTCACGCTGAGTCACATGCTTGACCTTTTTAAAATTTTTTATTTGAGACAAGTTCTCACCAAATTGCTCAGGCTGGGCTCAAACCTGTGATCTTCCTGCCTCAGACTTGCAGGATGCTGGGATGCAATCAGTTTTGAAAGGTCAATTTCATGGCTTTTAACAATTATTACCATAGCAGGTAAGTGTCACCGAGCATTTACGTGTCAGGCTCTATTCTAAACTCTGGATAAGGAGTAGTGTGGTTCACACTTTCAGGTTCACAGCAATACCATTTTACAGATGAGGAACCTGAGGCACAGGGAAGACAAACCATGTGCCCCAGTCACACAACTAGGAAGTAGCAGAACGCGGATTTGAATGTGGACAGTGTGACTTCAAAGCAGGGACCTCTCTCAACTTGGGACCACTAACATTTTGGGTCAGTAACTCCTTTCAGAGGGCTTTCCTGTAGATCAGAGGTGTAGCAACATTGATAATCGCTACTCGCCCAAGTGTAACAACTGCAGATGTCTCCAGATGGCCCCAGGGAGGAAAATCACCACGGCCGATGACACTCCTGCAGATTATGCTCTTAACCACTGCAGTACACTGTTCTTGTACAGGCATGAATCCTGCGAGCAAATTACTGAAAGACTTTTATTGGACACTCAGGTAATGCAATCCTAGCCTTTAACAAACTTGTTTCTCAATTTTACGATTATCTTTCCCTCATTTGGGCAACCAAAGCTATTAATATTATTTGAAACGTTAGTAATAATGGCAAACCCAAACCGGACGTGGTGGCACATGGCCTGTAATCCTAGCACTTGGGAGCAGAGGCAGCAGGATTGCCACGAGTTCAAGTCCAGCCTGGCTGCATAGTGAGTTCAAGGCCAGTCTGAACTGCACAGTGAGACCCTGTCTCAAAAAACAACAGCAAAACAAAAAGACAACAGCAGACTCCTGAATGACAGAAACGATAACTAGCTCAGGCTCATCTTTCAGATGTATTATAGATATATGTTTAATTACTTCACTTAGGAGAACTACATTAATAAAAAGTCAAAGCGAGAGGGTCTGATTATAGAATTTCTAAAGGTCCATCTAGTTTTTAAATTCTCTGTTTTATCTCCTTTAGACCTAAAGAATTTCACCTAGTGTTCAAGATTTTAAGATTTTTTAAAAATTGCATTCATATGCATATAATGTAATTTCAGTGCAAACTTTAACTTACCATTTACTCTTAATACTGCTTGAAACTGGTATTCTTCAAATAGAATTTCATTCATTGATTCTTGAATTGAAGTGAAGTTAAAATACGGTTCTGTGATAATAATATTGGTATCTAAAAAATCAACCTAAGGAAAAAAATCCCCCAAAGTTTCATAATTTGTAGGGACTACCATCAACAAGTCTTACACAGATAAAAAATTATTTAAACCTCACAATAATCCTGATGATTATCCCCATTGAATGTATGAGCAAACTGAGGCATAGAAAAGTTGAGGAAGCTACTTAGGGGTATAGCTAGGATTTGAACCCAGGGAGTCTAAACACAGAATCTATGTACTGCTGGGCACAGTGGTGCACACCTATAGTCTCAGCTATTCAGGCAGAGGAAACAGGAGGGTGGAGAAGCTCAAGGCCAGACTGAGGAACTTAGCAAAACCATGTATTAAAAAAAAAAAGACAAAAAGGTCTGGAGATGCAGCTCAGTGCCCCCTGGTAAAATCCCTAACTCTCTCACATACACACAAAACAAACAAAAAACCCACAGAAACAAACAAACAAAAAAAAACCCCACAGAAAAAAAAAGCACCCCAGAATCTGTACGCTCAACTATTATGCAATCCTACCTCTCTGGCAGCATCAATAAAATGGAACTGCCAACTTGTTAAAAATCTTCATGCAAAAGTAACAAATGATATAACCAGAGCCACTGTTATTTTATTTTTAAAAATGGAAAAATGGTAAGAAGCTTCCAGATACGGTTTTTGGACAATTTCTACATACAGAACACTCCACAGCATCCACTTCACCAAATTCAGGGCCAGGGCCCGGATCCCCACCTGCTGCAGCTTGGCAGTGTAAGCCACAGAGGTTGGAGCCAGGACACTGCCTCCCGGCATTCTCCTTTGCAACCGGTCTCGGTGGCTCCTGCCAGCTCAGGCACGCGTCCATCTTCCGAGAGGACTCGTGTGAAGCAGCTGGTCGGCTGGTGAACCAGGCTCCCCAGGCTAACCTCCCCACGACACGGCCCCAAGTCCCCATCGTAACGCTGGCAGGAAGACAGAGAGCATCCCAGGACCCATGTCCTGCACAGTCTCTACCAGCTGAGCCTTCCTGTTCTCCACCAAGGGGGTGACACTACCGACCCCTGCTCAGCGGACAGGTGGTCCCCAGGGGTACATTCCCATAGCCACAGCTTATTCTCGGCCCCAGCCAGCAGTCCGCTGCTTCTCTCCCTTTGTTTCTTTTCCTTCTTTCTTTCTGAGGCATGGTCTTACTATGTCGTTCAGGCTGGCCTTGAACTTGGTGATCCTGCTGCCTCAGCCTCCTGAGTGCCCCACCACCTTTGTTTCTGATCCGAACTTGTAAACCAGCTTATGCAGCCGTAGCAGTCCAAGGCCTGGGTGAATCATTTAGTTGTCGGAGGGACTTTCAGCCTCTTGCGGAACATAGGCTTTTGCCACCGCAGAGAGGTAGTGGGGCCAACTGACAAAGCAGACAAAGCTTCTTTTGTGCTGGATGTCCAGTTCAATGCCAAAATTATGAAGCTTTGCCAGGTGTGCTGGTGCACATCTGTGATCTTGGCACTCAGGAGGCTGAGGCAGGAGGATTGCCCTGAGTTTGAGGCCAGCCTGGGGTATGCGGTGAGTTTAAGGCCAACCTCAACTGCACAGTGAGACCCTGTCTCATAAGACCAAAAAAAAAAGGCCTTTTCTCAAATGTGGGATTGAACCCCTTTTTGCCTCCCACTTCTCATGACAGCAGTGGCCGGGGGTGTCTTCTCCTTAGGCTTTTCTTTTTGGCATCTTGGGCAGCTGGAGTAGAGTTCTCCCAAATACTCTCAAAAAGTATTAAAACTTTAATATTCTCTCAGTATATCTATACTTACACGATAGCCATTAAAAGCACAAATTTTTCTTGTAATATCTAAACACATTTAGATATGTAGGAAAAGATATTGTGAAAAAGAAAATGGTACAGCAAATCTGTCTAATAACAGTAGAAATCTTGGGCTGCAGATGTAGCTCAGTGGTAGAGCACTCACCTAGCAGGTGGAAGGCCTTGGGCTCAAACCCCAACATCAGAAAAAAAGAAGTAGAAATCTACAGTTAAATTTTAATCTTGAGTTTCATATAGACTCGCTCCAATTTCTTCTTTAACATGGAAATACTACTCATTTGGAAACTCAAAGGTAGGCAAAGTTAAATGACTGTACTGAAAACATACTGCTGTCTTAAAATAGAAATTCTAATATTTCACTTGATTTAGACACAGAAAAAGAATTTCAATATATACCAATTTACCTGATACATTTCTTTTCCAAAAAGGTAATCCCAAACTTGTCGTTGAACATCCCAATTCACCAAGTAGCCCTAAAAAACTTTAATAAACTTAATTATCACGAATATTTAAACAATTCTTAAAAGTCAGATTAATATTGAAGGGGTAAAGGGTGGGCAGGGGTATGGGGAAAAATGAGAACCCAGATCTGTCATGTAAAGGTACAACATCCCAATGATGAATGTAACTGTACTGTACACTTAAAAAGTACCAATAAACTCAATAAAAACAAATTCAGATTAATATTAATTGATTCCAAACCATTCTAGTTTTTTATGTCTAATGCTTACATCTAATGTTCTTTATGCCCATTTCGAATGTAATTTTTGGTCTAATGCCATATGAATTTCAAACCAATTATACTGGTATTTTTGTCCCTATAAAAGTTCAAAAATTTTAAAAAAGTTCAAAAATTACAAATTAACAATGAAAATGTCATGGGGCTGCGGACTTAGCTCAGTGGTTCCAGCACCTGCATTGCAAGCGCAAGGTCCCAAGTTCAATCCCTGGTAGCCCCCACAAAAAAAAGTCAGCAACACACCAATATATAGAAAAAGCATTCCCTATACCTTTGTCTTAAATTAGTGTGTGTCATACCACCTACATAGATTTACCATAAGTAAAATTCAGTATTCATAATCAGTACCTAAATAATGGCCATTTATTTTTACCAAGACAATTTCATTTTAATTTATGGTTTTAAATAGATCTTAGTTAAAATTTAAATTGACTTTGCTCAGAAATCCAGAAATATTTTCATACATATGCAGTCTTATATGTACAATTAAAATATACATTTAAATTTAGATTTATAATGCTAGACATGACACAAATTGGATTACCTTTTGAAAAGGAAGGATGTAAAAGAGTCCTGAAGGGTCTTTTATTTCATCTATCTGGTTAGCAGTAAATGTTTTAAGACGAGCTGTTTTTGACCTGAACTGACAATTAGGAATAACCCTAGAACAAACAAACAGAACATCCTGTAAATATTTAGTTCTTAAAAGTATCTTCACTTTACCACCACCCTCGGGGCCAAAAGATAAGTACTTCCAAAACCAGTGTTGCTCACTCTGTCTTCAAATAATTTAAAAATTCCTTTCAAAAAAAAAAAAAAGATTCTAATTTTTTTTTTCTTTTTTGCTACCAGGGATAGAACTCCGGACCTTTCGCTTTGGAGGCTGGCAGTGGCACCACTGAGCTAAAAGCCCGGCCCAAGATTCTAATATTTAACTGGTTCTATAATGGATTCTTTATCCTTCTCAAATAATCTTCAAGAAATCCTTAGATGTGCGTATTGACTCTGCTACTGCATAGATGACAGCCAGGTTTTGATAAAGGTCCTAATGTTTTTGGCTTTAATGTAGAAATTCTTAATGCCATTCAGGTCATGGATTCACCAGGTCAAAACTCTGGCCTTACATTAGGGTTCCATACAGCAAAAGATTTTCATTCAGTCAAAAGGATGCTGGCCACAGTGGCTTTCCTCGGGATATACTTTTCTCTTGCTTTGTCCTTCTTTCCAGGCTCGCTCTGCAGAGCCAGTTTCTCCCTCATCCTTCACTTTTACTTTTTCAAAAAAAGTTTGCCACTGCTTTTTTTTTTAAGGGTGCCAAAATACATAGAAGTAGGAACTAATTTTATTTATTTATTTTTTCTCCCCGGTACCGAAGTTTGAACTCAGGACCTTGTGCTTGCTAGGCAGGACACAGTTGCCACTGAGCTAAATCCCCAGCCAGAACTACTTTTAATTATTGTAGCCCATCACGAACTTACACTTTACAAAGAAAGTCAAATCAGAGTCATGATACGCACACGTAGGTACGCGTACAGACACACACCATCACATTGGGAGTACTTTGTAAAAATGTTTTGCGTCTGCTTATTTCACTTATTACACTACAAATCATTTTCCCTACATATTTAAGTATTCTTTAAGAATAGAATTTTAAGAAGCTTCATAGAGTGCAGTGACATGTCCCTGTACTCTCAGGTACTCAGAAAACTGTCACAGGAAGGTCCCCTACGCCTGCAGTTTAAGGTCAGCCTGGGCAACATAGTGAAACCTTGTTTCTTAAATGAAGAGAGAGAGACAAAGACAGACTCAGCGGGTGGAGGAGATCCAGAGATATCAAGCTAGCTGAGCACTTGTTAAAGCACTAAGCCCTGGGTTCCCCCGGTTCACACCCCCCCACACACAAAGGAAATAAGGAAGCTGCGCTGTCATCGTTGCATTAGAATGCATGTAGCCAATTTCCTATTATTTGCTTGCTATTTTTTAACTGTACACAGTGTCTATAAATAATACAGAGCATCCTTGTACTTAATCAAGTACCTCTAGAAGATTCCATAAGCGATAACAAAGTTTCGGTCAAAGACTATTAGCAATGATTTACACTGTCAAAATGTTTTCCAGAAGACTACAAATTTATATTTTTATTCAGTTTAAATTCAAAAGAAATGAGGGCTGGGTGCAGCTCAGTGATAGAGCACTCACCTAGCACATGTGAGGCCCTACATGTGATTCCCAGACGCAAAAAAAAAAAAAAATGCTTATTCAAACATAAATTTTATGAATATTCATCTAACGAGTACATTTCAGTACAGTAATTAAATGACTTTGTCAACCAGGCCAGCCATTAGGCTAGAGCCTGCAAAGTCTCTATACCCTTAGTCGATAGCTTTTTGATTTTGTGGGTCATCGAACACTTTAAAGATCCAGTGAAACTTATAATCACGTACCCAGAAAATACACATACACCCAAAATGTCGCCCAACTTCTGCAGGTTCATGAACTTTGTTGATGCGTCCTTTCCTGGGAATAAATGCATCACTAAAAGCATATTCTCCCAGAAAATGAATTACACACCCCACTTCCGGAGCGCACAGCCCAAACTAAACCAAAGTCAATTCCATTCCAAAGCATCGCAACCCCAACGGGACTCCAACTAGAAAATCCTTAAGGCTCGGGTTAGGGCCCTGTGAGAGCGTTTGCAGATTTATGTCCGGAGAGAAAACGTTGCAATCAGAACTTCTAGGTACACATGCTTTGTCCCCTGAATAAATCGAACACTTACGAGACATTTTCGTGGCTGTAACCGATTTTAGCGTTGTAGGCTCCGTTATCCAGCACTAACGTGGTCATTCTAGCGCGAAACACACCAAGCAACAGTCCCTTTTCCTTCCGAGCTTTTCTGCTCAAGCGCCTTCCGCTTCTCTATGGTTTGCTGGGCGGAGCGATAGAGCGCGTTTCCGGTTACCCTGGCAACAGAGGACGCCGGGAGCCAGGCGCTGTTCAGCGGCTCCGCTTGTCAGCAAGCATCCCTGTTTTAATGCTAACTTGTTTAGGTTATGACGAGATTCGTCAGGAGTAGAAACAGCGAAGTGCTTTTTCGTCCACTTTGTAGTTTCCTGACTCCTCAGATTAATTCGCTCCTGCACGTGTAACACCAGTGGCCGACCCGCTGTGTATATCTTGTCCATACAATGACTTGAAATGCAAAACCATTCGCAGCGTGGAATTGGATATGAAGTCTCTCTGGCCTCATTCCTTGGTACTACACATCCGACTGTGGGATCCAACCATCATGAATTATATATGTATTGTTTTGTCAACGTCTTTGCTTTTAAACTCACATTTACACTTCCTTCTTTCCCTGCCACTTGATTTTCAGGACTTAGTGTATGTGTCTTACCTCAAAAGGGCTTGTTGACCTCTGACATGCGCACTCTCCATTCGGATTCCTGGAATTTGGTGCCTGTCTAGTTTTCCTTTTATAGCCCATGTTTCATAATAGTAAGAGAATGCATTTGGAGTCGGAATCCGCACTCTAAAACAAAATGACGGTCCTGGGCGATTTAAGACAATAAAGATTAATAACGTTTATTGAGTGTAAATTGTTCTAACAGCTTTACATATGTTAACCAAATTAATCTTTACATCTCCATGACATACATGGTTAAAAATAGAGCCTCTAAATTTAAACTGCTGGGTGAAATCCTGGCTCTGCCACTAAGTGGCTTGGACAAGTTAGTTAAGTAAGTACTCTGTGCCTTGGGCCTCATATGAAAAACGGAATAAGATCACACTCCCTTGCTGAATTGTTTTTCTTTTTACAATTTTTATTATTTTTTGAATTGTTTTATGAAGAATAAATAATAAAAGTTAAGAACCTGGCAGAAATTATCTCACCCTTTTTCTTTTACCCTCTAATCATCATCTTTTAACTTTCTATATGGAAAACTTAAAGTCAGGCATTTCATTCTACTGGCATCTGTGTTTATTTGTAGCAAAACATCCACTGAATGTTTAATATTAAACATTAAACTTAAACAGGGCGGAGGATTTAGGTCAGTGGCACCATGCCTGCCTTACAAGTGCAAGGTCCTGAGTTTGATTCCTGGTACCAAAAAACTATTAAACTGAATTTAGCCATCCTATTTTCTCCAATTTGATTAAAATGATAAAATCTCTTAAATAATATAAATTTTATTTTAATCTTCCTTTGTCTTTCCTTGGCAATTGCATGCACTGTGGTCAAGAATATTCTTGTTAAAAAAATATTCTTGTTCTTGACTTTAGCTGTCACTAAATACATACGAATCCTAAACTCGAATTTCTATTCTTGTTTTTCTTTCTTTTCTTCTTCTTTTTATACAGTCCAGCAATGTATAATTTTAAGAGCATTAAAAACATAACTCTATAAATAATGAACATTTGGAACAGATTAAGTCCTATTCATGAGTGAACCGTTTTATACCCTGTCTTGTTGGTCCTGCATTAATGTGAGTTAATAAATCTTTGGTACTTATTCCTTATATATTTGTGTGACAGTCATGCTTTTTTTGTGTGTGTGTGGGGGTTCCCTGGGATCTAACTCAGGACCTTGAGCTTGTGAGGCAGGTGGTGGCATCATTGAGCTAAATCCCCAGCCCCAGCCATGCTTTTGTTTTTAAAAAATTATATTTTGATAGTTAACTAGAAATTAATGAACATGTAAATTAACTTAAAAGCACTACTGTATTTATGCTAATTTTTGGTATTATGTATTTTCTCAATTCAGAAAAAGGAACTGAAATTATTGTTATTTTTCACAATGAAAAGTTGTAGCTATTAACTTGTGAAGTTCTTTAATATTTATTTTGTTTTTGTTTTTGTTTTTTTTTATTTTTTGAGACAGGGTCTCACTATGTAGTTGAGTCTGACCTGGAACTCACTGTGTAGCCCAGGCTGGTCTTGAACTCCCAGCGATTCTCCTGCCTCAGCCTCCCAAGTGTTGGGATTACAGGCGTGCGCCACCACACCCGGCTAATATTTATTATTTTGAAAAGCAATCTATGTGTTGTTCTAACCACAGTAGGCCACCTGTCATCTATAATAGATTTCACACTTGTGTTCATTTTCATCATTGTGTTCCATCAGACTACAGTCTAGAATATTCTTTTCAGGCCTGGGACATAGCTCAGGGGTCAAATATTTGCCTATCATGCCAGAGTTCCCAGGTTCTATCCCGAGAAACAATAAAAATAAAATCACATGGGCCAGGGATTTAGTTCAGTGGTTCCACTTCCTGCCTCGCAAGCGTAAGGACCCGGGTTCGATCCCCAGTACCAAAATAAATAAATAAATCACTTAAAACATCCTTTTCTGACTAGTGAATTAATAGTAACAGCTAACATTCCATTGTGCCTGGCACTCTTCTAAGTATTTCAGCTTTATTAGCTCAATCTCAAAACAATTTCATGAAAGCGTATAGCACCACAAAAGAGAGGTTGGATATCTTTGCTATGATCACATAACTAAAAAACCCTGCAAAGCTACATTTAAAATCCAAGCCTTTAATTTCAGGACCACTTATTTCTAATAACTTAAAGTTGTTTATTCTTATCCTTGAAATAATACCTTCACTGTAAACGTGTTTGAATGAATCACTCCATACTCCATAGTGTGTTCTTGCAGTGCTTTGATTCTGTTTTTGATAATAAATAGCAATATCTATAAGATAATTAAGTGATATGGTATGCATTTTGTTAAACAACTTATATGAATAATCTTGTTAGTCCTCACAAAATCCCATAAATTAGATACTATTAGTATTACCTCCATTACATGACATAAAGATTTAAAAATGTGCCCAAGTTTACACTGCCACAAGATGGCTAAGCCAGCATTTGAACTAGAGTCAAATGACAGGTCTTAGGTCTTAGTATTTTGAATCTGTACTAGGCTGCTAACTCTTTGATGGCAGGAACAGGTTTGGTGGGGTGTTTGGTTTGTACAAACAATCCTAGATACTTGACCAGTGCCTGGTTTATACCACACTATAAATGTTAAATGAATGAATAGTAAAACCATACATCTATCTTTTCCATTCTCATGCTTTTTAAAAAAAAAATAAAACAAAGTTTTGGGGGTCAGGGATCTAGCTCAGTGGTTCCAGCGCCTGCTTTGCAAGTGCAAGGACCCGAGTTTGATCCCTGGTACCAAAAAACAAAACAAAACAAAGTTTTGGTACGTTGTCCAGGTTGGTTCTGAATGCCTGGGTTCAGTCAGTCCTCTTGTCTCAGCCTCCTGGGTAGCTGGGACTGCAGGTACTGACCGCTGGGCCTGGCTCCTTATCTCCTTCATTCAAAAAGGCACCTCCAAAAAGGATCAGGTTGTTGGATGATGTACAACCTTACCCCAACCACAGGCCTTGCTGATACGCCTCTCAGGGAACCTGTCCTTCCCTTCCTTTTTAGACACCTCTGTAGCAGGTCTCCTCTCTGAAAAGAAAGATGGTTTGGGGCTGGGTGGGGTGGAGGTGCAGGGCTGTACATGTTTCTCTTTTCGACGATTTCCTTCCTTTTACAGAATTTTTAAGGGACATTTATATACTTATTTTTCAGATATTACACCTAGGAAAGTGGGACATGATTAACCTATTTTATAAATGATTAAAATGATGATAAAAGTAAAGGAATTTCTTGGAAGTCAACAGCTAGCAAATACTAGAGCGAGGACTTGAATTCGTACTTTCTAATTTCTAGGTCTTCACTCTATTAAGATACGTTGCCAGCTTTTACTTCCCTTAGGATTGGAATAATTAGGGAGGACATTAAATTACAGCACTTAGCTAAGGGAAGGATCTCAGCCAATGACAAAACAAAACCAACCAAACAAAAACCGACGGAAGAATACGAATAAAACTGAGTAGGTCCAGTAGAGCACGACAGCAGATCACTTTATGGGACAGATAATTAAGTTCTGAGAAAATGAAAAAGCGAGGTAGAAGGAAAGTCTAAATGGAAAGGAACTGAGCGATGGAGGCAGAACGTAGGCAAAGAGAGAAAGACCGAAGCCCAGGAAGTACTGGGACCGGGAACCTAAGGACCTCGGGGCTCAGCGCTGCGGCGCCAGTCCTAGGCGAGGGGCGTGGTCGAAAGCGGGCCCCACCCTACCCCGCCCAGCTCCCTCCGGCCCCGCGC